CAGTTTCCCATACTAATAACATACTGCCCCTCTTTTCCAAAACTTGGAGGCAGACTCCTCTTCAGATTCCACTGGCATCCTGGACCAGAGGGAACTGACTGTTTGGAAAAAAAAAATGTTCAGAGCCTCCAACCTTGGCACCATGTGAAGTGAACCAAATTGGCCAAAGAAGTTCTGTGACGATGGGGATCTGTCCACATTTATAGAGCCACCTCCAGTGGAGTTGTTTAATTGTCCGGGGAGAGAAATCAGAGTTACAATTTCAGGTTGAGTTCTGAGGAAGGGTCACTCAACCAGAAACGTTAACTCCGATTTCTCTCCCCAGATGCTGCCAGACCTGCTGAGCTTTTCCCAGCAATCTCTATTTTTGTGATTTAGAATTCTTCCAGTTATTTAATTGTCCAGTTGCATTCATAACATAGGCGACATGACTGCAGAGCTTAGATCTAATCCATTAGTCATGGAATTGCTTAGTCCTGTCTATCAGTCGCTGTTTGGCATATAAGTTTTATCACGTCACAAGGTGACACCTCAGCCTGGTGCTGCTGCTGGCATACCCATCTACACTTATCAATGAGCCAGCATTCCCTCACTTGATGGTAATGGCAGAGTGTGGATATGCCAGTCCTTGAGCTTTTGTTGGGAGTACAATTCGGAGCCCCACAGCACCTCACTGATGCCAGTTGTGTTGCTAGATCTGTTCCAAGTACAGTGATGGTGCCACACAAGATGATTAGGATACCCTCCTACAAAGATAGGATTTTGTCTTTACAACTATGGTGGTTAAGCTTTGACACCATAATGGACTATTTAGATTAATCAGAATGAGGACAAGCATATTTTTCTCCTCTTGTTGATTCCTTCATCACCTGCTGTTCACCTAGTCTAATAGCTACATTCTTTAGATCTCTACTAGGTCAGTCAGTAGAGAGGCTGCAAAGATACTGAGGTGGATATTGAAGTCCCCAACCTACAGTATATTCTGCATCCTCATTTTCCAAGCTGTGTTTATCAATGTACTGATTCATCAGCCAAGATGGGGATGGTACATGGTAAATGACATACCCAGGGATGGGGATGGTGGTGTCTGGAACATTGTAAGCTTTGATGCTGAGCATATGAATATGCTAAGCTGCTACACGACTCGTCTGAGACGGGGCTTCCAAATTTGAGACTAGCTCCATATGTTGGTAAGGAAGATGTTGCAAGGTCAGGGTTGAGTTTGCCACGGTCATTTCAGGTGCCTTAGTCGATGCTTGTTGTCCTGTCCAGTTGCATTCCTTTGCAAACTTTTCACGTAGCGGATACCATTGAATGGCAGGAGGCAGCTGGTTAGCAAATGACAGATTTTATATGGTATAATACTAGCATTATACCATATAAGTGAAGAAGTTATTAGGATTAAGGGCTGATAAATTCCCAGGGCATGATATCTGTATCCCAGATTACTAAAGCAGATGACCAGGTGGAAATAATGGATGCACTGGTTCCCATCTTCCAGAATTTTAAAAACAGTCCCAGTAGATTGGAGGGTGCTAAATGTGAACCCACTATTTATAAAAAGGTAGAGAAGGGAGAAAACAGGAAATTACAGATTGGTTAGCCTAATCTCAGTAGAGGAAATGTTAGAGTCTATTATAAAAAGTGCGTGTTAAAAGGAATTGGGAAATATCAATGGAATTAGACAAAGTTAACTGTTTTATGAAAGGGAAATTATATTTGACAAACCTAGAGTTTTGAGCAAGTATTTACATTAAGGGAGGCCAGTGGATTTGATGCATTTGCATTTTTCCAAAAGCTTTTGATGAAGTCTCATGCAAGAGGTTGAGAGAATAATATTAAAGCATATGGAATTAGGGATAATATACTGGCATAGATGGAGGCCTGGCAATTAGACTAATCATTAGGAATAAATGGGTGTTCTGCAGAGTAGAAGGCATAATTAGTAGGTACTGCAGGGACCACTACTTGGGTCCCAGACATTTACAATAAATGTTAACATTTTAATTGAGGGAAATCAAACATAATATTTCCAAATTTGACAACACAGAACTAGGTGAGATTCAGAGTGGTGAGGATGATGAAAGAAGGCTTCAGGCAATTTAGACAAATTAGGATAGTGTGTAAATGCGTAGCAGATACAATATAATGTGGTCAACTAAGAAGTTGCCCTTTTGTTAGGAAAACAGAATGGCAAAGTATTACTTAAAATATAATAAGTTGAGAAATATCAATACAAGGAAGGAGGACCCAAGTGTTCTTGTACATCAGTCATTGAAAGCAAGCATGCAGGTTCAGTAAGCAGTTAGGAGACAACAACTACATTGGTCTTCATTGCAAGGGGATGCCACTGCAGGAGAGAGGTGGTCTTGGCCTGAAATATAGTGTGCAGTTTTGGTCTCTAAATGAAGAGATGACATACTTGCCACAGAGGGAGCACAGGAAAAAGGTTCACCAGACTGTTTACTGGGATGGCAAAATTGTTAAGGGGACAGATTAGGTCAACTATGCCTAGAGTTTGAGAGGCAATCTCCATTTGAAACAAAATCCAGCCAGGGGGACAGATTGAATTAGTTGAATGACGTTTTCCAGTTTTGAAGGGAGGTTTAGAACAGGGAGCCACATACTCAGTATAAGGCAGGTCATTTAGGATTGAGCCAAAACAAAAAAAGATCTTCACTCAGGGCAGTGAGCTTGTGAAATTTTCTACTACCAAGGCTTTAAATACTTTTTGAACATCCAAAAGGAGGAATATCTGGCCATTCAGCCACTCAAGCCTGCTCTTCCATTTACCAAGATAAACGGCTGATCTAACTGCATCCTCAAATCTGCATTTGTGATAACCTCACTCCCTTCGTTAATAGCAGTCTATCCACTTTTGGCTTAAAACATTCTAGAACCTTGCTTCCAACACCTTTTCAGAAGGAAGAGTCCCAAAAACGATTGACATGTTTTAAATAGATGACTTGAGTGGTGGGTGTGTGTAAGAGGACAGCAAACCCTAGTTCTAGATTCTCCCATAAGAGGAAAGGTCCAGATCCCTCAGTATTTTGCATGATTCAATCAAGTCACACCATACTTTTTAAAATGTCAAACAAATTCAACCCTAAGACAAGCCCTATTACAGATATTAGAATAGAAAACCTTCTCTAAACCACCTCGAACGTATTTACATCTTACCTTAAATAAGGATCAATTAAGTAAAGTGACCAATTCTGTACACAGTATTCTGGATGCAGTCACTCCAGTGCCCTGAATAGCTGAAGCACAATATCCTGATCAAGTCAGTAGTATTTATGTAGTATGTAGACAGATTTCTACACACTAAAAAGATGTCTAGGGTTATGGGGAGAGTGGATGAGTAGCCTTAAGACGATCAACCAGGACCATAATCGAGTAGTGGCACAGGCTTACTAGGGCAAACAATGGCATAAAAACACAAGAATAGAACTAAGAGCAGGGGTAGTCAATTCACTCATGAGTCTGTTCTGCCATTTAACACGATCATGACTGATGTCATCTCAGTCTCAACTCCATTTTCTTGCTCGTTCTCCATAACCTATTGCTAATTAAAAATCTGTCTCTTGCCCCAAATTTTCTCAATGTCCCCAGCATTCACCACAGCTTGGGGTAGCAAATTCCACAGATTCACAACCCTTTGAGAAATAATTTTCCTATCTGTTTTAAATCTGCTATCCCTCTTGTAAAATCCCCTCATTCTAGTCTGCCATCCTTTCTAGGTTTACTTTGTCAACCCCCTTTAGCATCTTGTATACTTCAATTACATCCCCTCTCCTTTTTCTGAACTCGTGTAGGCCTACACTGCTCAATCATCTCTGGAATCAAATTTAGTGAACCTCCTGTCAATTGCCTCCAATACAATTGCATCCTTCAAGTAAGGGGAACAAAGACATTGTACACAAAACTCCAGGTGCAGTCTCATTAATGCCTCGTACATTTGCAGCAACTCCTTCCTACTTTTATAGGAAAGTGTATAAATTCTAAAGTTCCAATACCTTCCATATCACCGGCCGTACCTGCATACTAAAGTTACCTGTTCTGTGCAAACAGCCTTCTCATGCTCCTACTTTCCATGTTTCTGTGACATGATTAGCTAACACTGTTGTAATATCTACTGAAGTTAATTAAACACACAACCAGTCAGAAAGTGCAAGTTTGGGTTTTACATCTGTCTGCTTTTGCAACATCAGTAACCTAATGCTTTATTTTGAAGTTAATTCATGGGATGTGGGCATCCACTAGCTGGCCAGCATTTATGGCCTGTCCTTAGTTGCCCTTGAAAATATGGTGGTAAGCTGACCATCTTAAACCACTGCAGTTAACAGCATTGTAGGTCAACCTAGAGAGAGTGGGAGAAGGGAATTTGAAGATTTTGAAGGAACAGTGATAGATTTTCAAGTCAAATCGTGTGGCTTGGAGGGTAATTTGAAGGTGCTGGTGTTACCATGTATCTGTTGCCTATGTCCTTCTAGATGGAAAGTCATGGGTTTAGAAGGTGCTAAAGATCACGGGGGAATTTCTACAGTGCTTCTTGTAGGTAATATAGACTGCTACTACTGAGTATCAGCAGAGAGAATGGATGCAGTGCCAATCAAGTGGCTGCTTTGTCCTGGTGGTGACAAGCTTAGAGTATTGTTGGAGCATTCAGACAAGTCAGGAGTATTATGTCATATTCCTGACATGTGCCTAGTAAATGGACAAGATTTGGGGAGTTAGGTGGAGAGTCACCCGCCACAGTATTCCTAGCCTCTGACCTGCTCCTGTAGCTACTGTCTTTATGTGGCGAATCTAATCGAGTTTCTGGTCAACTGTACTCCCTCTCCCCGCAAGACACTGATAGTGGGGGATTCAGTGACAGCAACAAAACCATTGAACAAAGAATGGTGGTTAGATTGTCTGTCTCTTTTCAGAGATGTTCGTGCCTGGTATTTGAAAAAGGTGCAAATTTTAACTTGCCAGTTGTAAGCCCAAGCCTGTACGTTGTCCAGATCTTGCTGTGTTTGAACATTGACTGTTTCAGCAGCCGCGTCATCGTTGGATGACCAGGAGGCTAATAGAATACTTCAACATAAATGCAGTAGCTTCTCTTTAGAGAGCTCCTTTCAGAACACAATTATTTCCATGAAAGCAGTTTAGCAAAGCAGAAAAACTTGGAAATGGGAATTTGTCATCTGCAAAATATTATGATCAGTTATAAAAAGACGCCTATCACACCATTGCTGGAATTGTACATGAAGACAGACAGATGTGTGTCATTAATCTGCCTGCTGACACCGCCTGTTCAGTTGAGGTATACCCATTTGTGCGAAGGCATAAAATGGGCCTCTGTTACAGCGGGGAAAAGAAAAGCAGTCAGCAAATCACTTGCCAATGAGCATTGTTGCTCACCTAGCAAAATTGTGTCAGTGGTCATATGTTCAATGGGCCCTTGCATAGCTAATAAGCTCAATCCTAGAGTTGCTACATCAACCAAACATTTAGCAGGTGTTTCCAGAAGGTGGAACTGGTACTATGGCCTAGAGATGGCTGGCATTCCTTTCTCCAGGTCCTTGTTTGTACGTACTTGCAGATGAGTGCCACTTCATACACAAAAGGTTCCTTCAAATAGGTTTCTTCTGAAGAAGGATTTCCCACATGTTGACATCTATGTAGCACAAGGGAAGCCTTCAAGGAATTTTTTGTCTTTGTAAAAAAAAAAAAAAAAAAAAACAAACACTTTGTCCTGGTCTTGAGTGCCTGGAGCTTGGTGAAGATGACTTGCTTTTGCAGTCAGTGCAGATATCCTTAGCTCATGGCGGGGCTAGCAGGGTTGGTTATGTGTAATCATGACCTCTACAATGCTGCTATTGGCTCCCTCAAGAATGCTGGTGTAAGTTAGATAGGTTTATACCCAAGGTTCTTGATATCAGCACGAACATCACAGTCAAAGAGTGGGACCTTTAGGTGCCCAAAAAAGGTATCATTTGCAGAAGGCATGGCATGTCAAGTGTCACATCAAATGTCAGCCGACTCCCTGGATACGGGAAATATTCCACATTTGGGAGGATTTCTCTCGATCTTAATGGAGGGGCAGACCAGGACTTGCCCAAGGACAAGTTGGTCAAGTACTGGAGTCTTGAGGTACAGGTGGAGATCAATTCTTCAGCATGCTTCTGTGACAACTGCAAGGGTCTTCAAGATTCTCTTCCAAGAAAGCTGAAATGGCATCATCCATATACTGAAGTTCCACGAGCAAGATTGATGTCATTTTCTTCTTTGATTCCAACCAGTTGAGATTTAGACTGGAGGCAAGAGTGCACTGAAATAAATGTCCAGACTTTGAGAGTCTAAAAGAAGTTGTAGGGCAAGACTCAAAATTCAAGACACCACGACTAAGAATACCAAAAGAAAGGGCTAAACCAAGTAGCATAGTTTGACAATACCAAACTAGAGCTTCCAAACTCCAAAAGATAAGGACAAAGAGGAATAGGAAATGAAACCAGAAGTTCACTTGCACATAGTTACAATAAAGACAAGAAAACATAGAACTGCAACCTTACACTTCAGGGGTCAAGAGTAGACAGACCACGGCTGTACTTAAAATATACAGGGGAAAAAGAAAAACAAAGAAAAAAAGTGGAAAATTGGTTGATAAGTTGAACTTAAAATGCCACAATCTACAGGGGTAGCGCATTGGAAAAATCAAGTCCCACTATCTGAGTCATCACAAAAATATGAAAATCTGATTAAACTGACCAATTTTATTTAACGATCTAACTCTAGTCAAAAGGACATGCATGCCAGGTTTTTCATTACCATAATCAATAGTTATTTTCTTATAAAATTTTAAACCAATGGCATGAAAGAAACAGGAATTGTTAACATACAATTGTAGTGTAAAAACACTACCCCCTTACAAAGTTCCTACATTTACAAGCAGACAAGAATATTATAGATAGAATACCAAAAAAGGAAAAAAAAAAAGTTCAGGAGCACCAACTAGGCCACATCAGCAATGTTAAGTGTGGAGCTGGAGGAACACAGCAGGCCAGGCAGCAGAGGAATAGGAAAGCTGACGTTTAGGGTCAGGACCCTTCTTCAGAAGAAAATTTTCTGCAAGGGTCCCGACCCAAAACATCAGCTTTGTTGTTCCTCTGATGCTGCCTGGCCTACAGTGTTCCTCCAGCTCCACACTGTTATCTGACTCCAGCATTGGCAGTTCTTACCAGCTCACATCAGAAGTGTATTGCTACCCTTTGGTTCCTCCCTCTTCCTTTCAGTTCTCCGCTGAAGAGACGAAGGTGGTTGTACACTGATGCTTTAAATTTTTAGAATTTGCTCCTTCAATTATCTGAAGGTATTTTTCCTTTCAACAAACTTCTGCAGAGAGCTTGGTTAACAGGAGATTGGAACATGAAAACGGCTACCAGGAGCTGAGAGCAAGAGAGAGACTTAGATGCCTTGTTTGAAGCCTAGAGGCTTGCTTCATTGTTCACATGAAAATCTGTTGCCACTTACCTGGGAACAAATCAAATTGTTCTCTGGAATTCTCAACTGGTTAACTGCAAAACCAATCATCTGTCCATCACTGTTTCATACACATATAGGTGGTGATGTTTCTAGCCTTCTCACCTACTTCATAAATCAGGCAACATTGTAGATACAACTCAGAGTTCCAGTACTAACCTTAAAAAAAAAAAGTGCAACATCCTGTTTCCTCATTTCCTTTTCCATATTTTTTCTTTTGGACAAAGGGATAAAATACTCCTTACAATATATGAGAAAAACAAACAGGAAAAGGATGAAAGCTTCACCCTTAGGAAATTAGAGTTAAAAATGAGAATGATACAGCAAAGCACATTTACTCCAACATTAGAGGAAATTAGATGGCCTTCAGCATAATACTAGTGGGTGGATAGGTGATATTAAATGTTTTAGGAGAGCAAATTGACAAGAGGTTGTCATTTGGTTCTACTTTTTCTGAAAAAGTAGAAAGATTACCAATGTATTTGGAGACATGTAACCAGTCACCAGAAAACTGTCACACTGGAAGCTACAGTAATGTACTAATTTTTAGATTAGCAGAAAGTTACTTCTGCAATAATTTAACTCATTATTTTAGAAAATGCCTTTTCATAAGCAAAAAGGACAATATATACTCAACACAACAGAAAAATATTGTACCAAAAAAAAAGTACAAGTTTCAAAGGCTGAAGGTATCAAAGAGTATGGGATAAGTGGGAACAACTTTGAGTCAGATGGATTCTCCATGATAATATTGCATGGCAAAGCAACCTCAACAGCCCGATAGGAAATGGGAGCAGAAGTAGGCCATTTTTGTGTTTCTCAATAACATGCTGTATCTGTTTAGTAACTTTTTGTCTCACATTATAATACCTCAATCCCTCCACAACTCAATTCTGCACTCGTTTTCGTTTTAAAAATTTTTAGTTTTCCTGCCAAAAGTGAAAAATTTCACACTTTAGCATATTACTCTCGAGTCTGCCAGATGTTTGCACGCTTTCTGACCTCATCTGTCTGCATCCTCACATCCCCTTCACAGCATACTTTCCAGTCTTTATTATCTGCACATTCAGCCTCCGTGCCTTTGCTCCCTCATCCAATTCAATGATAGAAATCTTAAAATGTTCAGGGCCCAGCACACATCCTAACAAAAACAGATCTATGCATACTATTTCTTGCAATCTTCTATGCAAGTCAAGTTAGCCACTACACCAAGAGCTTCTGCTTTCTGCAATAACCTTTTCTGTGGCACCTTGTAGATTATCCATTAAGTGGAAAGGTTGTGTTTATTCTATTGCTTCTACAAATTCTTGTGCTGTACTGTTAGGTTTAAAACATTGAATACATAACCAGATTAGTAATCTACATACAAAGTCTGTTCTTCATAACTTCTCAAAGAGTGTTATATCAGAGGGAAATCATTACATCAGTTTACTGTGCAGAGTTTTCATAACTGCATCTCAAAAACTGGTATAGATACAATGAAGTTTCAGACAAGATCAACTATAGAAGGATGAAGAGAGAGATAAAGGATAGATTACAATAAATTCTAGTGCTACAGTCTTAGAATATCAGTTAGCCATTGGAAAGGAAGCATGTCAATATATTAAATCATTGACAATGACATGAACATAATATTATTCTAAACTCAGTCAGGCCGTCAGTGCTTGCAGGCACAGAATTAGGTTAACATACAAACAGCCATTTCAAGCATAGGGTGGAAAAAAAGTGGTTAAATAAAAGGATATTAAAATGTTTAGAAAATTTACCACCATGGTAAACGATTAAAGAGACAATAAGCATCTGAAAATATTTTTCTCAACTTGTTCAGAAATGTTACTACACTCCTCTGCAACAGGTTGATGCTAAGGAAAGAATATGGCCTTAATGTAATTCCTCTTTCTAAAAAGGATGTCTAAATCATGAAACAAATTATTTCTTCTAATTCATGGTAATGAGCAGCAGCCCACCTAGACAGCCTCTACACAGAAAAAAAATTCACGCAGATCGGGAATACGAGGCAAAGGGAAACCTTTTTAAAAAAGCATATTGAAGAAATATTGCTGCCACTTGAAGGGCTGGGGAACAGGTTCAAAATTGATTTGCACTGCCAAACGAAAACACAAATTAATTAAACAAGAGCAACCTTCACATTTCTGCCATTAGTTAACACACAAACAACTGTAGCTCCTTAGTGAATATCTTCTATTCCCTGATCACTGTTGGAAAGTATGTTTAATATCAGACAAGAACTGAATAGGTTTTTAATTTATTTATTCATTACTCATTTGCACATTAAAAACATGCTCTGAAAACCCAAAACTCATTGTTTCAGTCTGCTAGTACAAGTAAAAGTCCAGTTAATGACTAATACTTGAATATATTGAATAAATACAATTGGTGCCAACTGGTGTTTTACAAGTTTAGAAAAAAGTAAGATTTTTTTGTAAAGCAAAACTACAAAACAGTATAAGTGGCTAATTTGATTTAAAGATTTTGACCAAAAGAATGTTTTACTGGGCTTTAGGT